AAAAAAAAACCCACCAACAAACAAAGAACCCTACCTCTGAGCATTTAGCTCTCCTCTCAAGCAGTAAATATCGATCAGGCTGGACAAGTGTGGCAAACCAGTCTCTATGAAAAATTCGTCTGCGTGAAGCATAGTCACACGCTGTCATCTCTGTCATACACTTTTCTTTTCAAGTCAGGGAAGAGAAAGGGCCACTGCTAGAGGAGATTCCTACCTGCTACCCAAGCACTCCTTCGGGAGGAATGGCTAGCTCACAGGAGGCTTCTGTCTCTTGAGGAAGCTGAGACAATTATCTTAAAATGATCTTAGCTAAGCGAGGTAGACTGCACCTCACTCCAACATATTGAAGGACAGTAGGATGACAGCTAAAGCAAGTAACAAATCTGAAATATTTAAAAGTTTTGTCCGCTTTGAAGGACACATCGTGTGTATTTCATCTATTCACTTCTCTCCCATTGTGTTGAGCATGAGTGACAAATGTTCTTGAGCATAATGATGACTTAACGTTTGAATAACATTCTTCCTCTTTGGAGAAAGGATAATTTCAGCTTTAAATATCTTATCTCTTCTTTACAGGAAAGATTACTCTGCATGATTTAAAACGATGTAAGCTGACAAATGTGTTTTTTGATACTTTTTTCAACGTTGAAAAATACCTTGACCATGAACAGAAGGATCAGTTTTCTATGTTGCGGGTGAGTATGAAACTTTGAATGTCTTTTTAGCTATGTGGTTACCAGTTAATATGATTTTTGTGTAACTTGCAATGTAATTGTTTAGGATAGTGAAGGTGAAAGCCAAGAGGTCTCTGACTGGGAGAAGTACGCTGCTGAAGAGTACGATATCTTGGTAGCAGAAGAGGCAGCAAGTGACCAGTGGAATGACGGGTAAGATGGCAGCAGGAGGGTTGGTACAAATCCTCTCTGCTAGCATGAAGCCTCACCATCGCTGTCATCCCTGATGCTGTTGTTGTAGAGCGTTGCTGTTTGTCGTGTCTAGCCACGTACTCAGTGAGGGCGGAAGAACCTTTCTCGTATCTCGAATTAAATATTCCTTGACAGTTTGTGATCACATTGGTTTTGCCAAAGAAAATGTCCTACTTCAAACTTTGGGAGGAAACATTTGAAAAAGCTTAAACTCTAAACAAAATACTACATTAGTTTTTGTAGCTTGTTGTTAAATGCATTAAGAGCTTCATGAAGAGCTTGGAGGGGGGGAATCTCACTTCTGTACTCAATTATATCAGCTTTGAAGTATTTTCTCACAGTTCTCTAAGAGTAAATAAGGTAATAAATCTTCCTGTTTCAAAATCGCTCCTTTACTCTTTCTATGTAGCTTCCAGAATCTCTTGGACTTCAAAGTCCTGAATTTGCCATTCATTGTTTTTGTTATTTCAAAAGCTAAGGAAAACAAGTACAAATATAACTTGTTTTAAGTTGATGGACCCATCTAGAGAAAACACATTTTCCTGTGTTTCCTGCATCAGTATTCCATTTTAAAAATCTCTCATTCTTGCCAAGCATTGAGAGAATGACTAGCTTGGTATTTAAGAAAGTGAGAAAGTAAAATCCTCCTAATGCATTGACTTCAAGGAACTTTGTTAAAGCATATGAGGGGAGGAAGAGAATTGCGACTATCACCCAGCCTCTTCAGCATTAAGAGGGATCATACTCTTAACTCTTCATGGAATCCTCACCTAGAATTGATTAATATTACAAAATTAACAAGCCAAAAAATTAACTGGAGCTTTGAGTTAAGCCTTCAATGTTTTTTGTCTCGTTCAATCTTTTAAGGTCTTAGGCTTTATCAAGTTTGGGGAAGGTACAGAATACGTATGTACATTTTTGGCAGTTGTTTGGGACACTGCAATGCTGAGTATAATATCTTAAATGTGATGGATCAGAGGAAAGAACAGTTTCTACAGTCTTACTGGCTGTGAAATGTTATTTATTTGTAACTCATCTGACACTAGTGGGATTGTTATAAACCAGTGAAGGATTCAGATTTGTGGCCCTCTGTTTCAGAATATCTTGATAAAATTAACATGTTTAAACTATCAGGAGTCAAAATTTTAAGAAGTTACTGGTGGACTTAGGCTGCTCCTGAGAGGGTCAGACCAGCCCCTACAGTGTCTGCCATCATCTCAGTGTCTGAGGGGCCCCTTAATAGAACACAGGAAACCAGTGCATCAGCATGTCAGTGTGAGAGCCCAGGCCTGACACCAACAAATAGCATTTAGGAGACTTGAGGTACTGTTAAGTCTGAACATCCTAAATCTTAACTAGAACCACCTCCTCAAATGCTTTACACCTTTGCTGTTTTAGCCTTATTTTCTCTCTTCTGATGGTCTGCTTGTTTACTGCTGCCGCAGTAGCTGTGTGTCTCCACCTTCCTGTTTTAAATTCAGCTGCTGTTGTGACTTTTTAGAATCTGAGTGGTAAGCCCATTTTCAGGTACGAAGTTGCAGAATTCAGTTGGCTTTTGACTAAATTTGCCTCAAGCTCATCTTAAAGTTGATAGTTAAATGTAGATTTTCTTGATTCCGTTAAGATCCTACTATTCTGTCTTGGAGCTCTTAAAGCCTCTTACGGCGTTGCTGTGGCATACCCTGAGAAACTAGTTCTTCTGTCAGTTAAGGCAGGCTCAGGGTTCAGAAGTGCACTGTACGGTCTGTAAAAGCTGGTCCTTAGCTAGATTGCCAAGGACGGCTTTCAGCTGTTCCTCTGGCCTTCTGTCCTGAGACTGTAGCCAGTATCACTGGCAACTGAAACTCACTGGAGGCAAAATACCCTTTTGACGTGGGCAGGAAGGGACCTGCATGTCAGGAAGTCACGTTACTCTGCACCTCCGATTTAAGGGTTCGAAGTTGCTGGGCTGTTGTAGACAAGTGTAGTTTTGTAAAATTCTAAGATAATGTTTAGGCACACTTCCACTCACAAACCAGATATGAAGAGTGAGCCTCAAGGTGCTTTTACTCGGATTCAGTTGCAAGCTCGTTGGCTGCAGTCATTTCTTTGAGCGAAGTGCTGCTCCGTCGTTACTGTTTAGACTAAGTTATTTCATTTTTGTGTATTTCCCACTCCCGTCCCCCTTTTCTGCCCAGGATGTTTGCTCTTGGTGAAGACAAAAGCTGCAAAATTCACAGCCATTATTCTTAGGGTCAGATAATTTCTGTTTTCCACAAAAAATGTATTCAGTGTACCTGAAGCCATGGCTTTATGGCTTTACACAGGCAGTGGGCAAAATAAAAAGTAAAATACAAAGCATTTCTCAAGTTAAACTTTAATATTATTTTTAAAGATCTAAGGTAAATCTTCACTCTTCAGTAAACTTCTAATGGGTCTTAGACACTTGGTGTGTCAGATGCTTCTATGAATTTTGTTCTTTCCATGGTATAGGCACAGTTGTCCTCTTTGTCCATGCAGTTACAACTTCAGTGATATTGTGGAACTTATGGTATGTAAAGCAGAATCCTAATAATCCTAAAACTTGAAAAAAAAAAATGCACCTTAAAGTGCAACTGCAAATACAGCCCTTAGGGAAAACCAGTGTGTTATTGTAAGAATAACGTAGCGAAGTACGCTGGGATATGGAGGAGAGGAGGTGTATGATGCTAAAATGTCAGTTTCTCAGTTCTTTTGAGCCTGGTGTTTGTAAACTCAAGCAACTCTTTGGTTGTAGGTTGCCTGTGCTTCTGGCATTAGCAGATTTGTCACGGATCTTGTAGGTTTTAAAAAAACCCTGACAATTAAAGAAAAACATTGTGTCCTATGGAAGCACAGCCCGAAAAATCACGCATTTTATGCAGCTACTTTCTGTATCCCTAGTTGGATTCGATGCGTAGGCCATAGCTTAACTGTTGGCCATCCACAGGGATGGATGAAAGCTTTTATCCAAGTGTTCCTGAGGTTTTGCTGCTTTGTTTCGTTGGAGTAGAGATGGGAGTGCTCCTTGTCTCCATTAGCTACCGCTTCGTAATTTGTCGGAGGTTTCAGGCATCGTACACAACCACAGGTCAGACGTATTTGGGCTGGCTAAATAGAAACAAGTATTACGCTTCATCTTACTGACTTCTGCCTGCCCTTGTGTCGGAAGCTTGTGAAGGCTGTTGCATTTAAACTGCTGAATTGAGATTTTTTTTTTTTAATAAAGAGCAAAGTTAGGATAGTTTCCAAATTCTGTTTTTTTTTTAATAAAGAGCAAAGTTAGGATACTTTCTAAATTCTTTATCAAATAAGCAACTGGATCGAAGTTGTGAGCAAACAGATGAAAACCTAGAGAGAACAAAAGTATTCTGATCTGGCTCAGGGAGGCACAGCCAAACCTGACTTAGTTTGAATGCTTTCTAAAAGTGAAGGTCAGCAAAAGCATCTTCAAAACTTAATTGAAGTAGGACTGTCTGAATCTTTTTTTTTCCTATGATTGTTCTGAAAAATGAAGCTTGTTTTCTATTGACAAGAGAAACACAAGACTGCTAAAAATTTCCTTGCTGCTGTTAGGAGAGTTTAATGAACAAAAACATTAAAAAAAAAAAAAATATTATGAACATTTTAAGCTACTGTGTTGTACAAAAACTTCCTTAAAACTGCTTACTGTACTTAAAGGGTTGTAATGCCTTCCCAAACCGAAGTGTCTGTTTGACAACCCAGTATGAATTTTTTATTACCTGCATGGTAAATATTTTTCTTTCAGTTGATCTGAAAGTTGGGAGGGGTGTACAGAACTCTAGAAATAGGCTCTTTTCTTTACATGTACATGAGCTTTAGAAATGCGAGGAGGGGATAAAACGGCTTTTTAGAAGTGCTGTAGCTGTACGGTTGTCTTTTTATAAAAACCTCTGCGCTGGGAAGTAGCAATAGACTTTCTAATACTGTCATAAGTAACTCAAATTATTTTAGTGCCCAGATGCGTAAAACTGGGATGGTGTTTCTAGATTTCCTTAACTTAAATATCTTGGAAAGGAGTAAAAATGATATTCCATGAGGCCACCAGTGCTTTGGAAGAGAGCGGGATTTTAATTTGGTGCAATAATGTTTGAATAACAGCATTCCGAGCATAGGATGGGTGGAAACTACAAATAGTACCCGAGAGATCCTCATGCTGCCATTTTTAGTAACTGGAAAAGCTGCTGTCACCTCTCTGTATCACTATGCAATAAACAAATCCAAAATGTGCATTCAAGGTGTTTCTGTTTAAGAAAGGAAAAAAAAAAAACAACCCTTCTCAAAAAGAAGGAATTATTGGTGTAGAAGACTGTACATTACAGGTGTGAGCCAGACCTGTTCTGGTAGAACCTGCATCGTTCTTCCAAATCCTTGTTTTCAAACATGTAACTCAGTGAAGTAAATCTTGGAATGACTTTTGTTTCCTGTTCAAATCAGTGGTGAGCTTGTGGGAGAAACCCAAGGTATGCTGTTCTGCTGTTCACTGCCTGAGCACTGGTTGATGCTCACGTAATTGAGGCTTTAATACCTGTGGGAAGGATGAAATAACAAATTAAAAAAAAGAGAAAGAATCAGGAACTATTTTTACTTGCTGCTTAATCTTTACCTGATGTTATCAAAGCATCTTTGTTAGATTTCTTTTACGCAAAATGGTGGTGAAGCCGCCTTCATATGTTTAATGGTTTATCTATGAAGTGTTTCAAAAGAATTGCATTCACAATTGAAAATGTTGTTCTTCCTCCCACCTCTGCTGTTAATGCTCCTCTGTTGTAGTGTTCATAGTGGATTCTTGGTATTTAACTCTTCTTTGCCCTGTCTTTCTCTGAAAGAATACTTCTCCTGGTCACCACCTAGTGCTGTTAAAGTCGCATTTGAAGGACAGATATTGCAGTACCTAGAGCTCGTTCTTCGCCTAGTCTTGTTAAGGAGATACAAATAATCACATGCTGAGGCGAAGTTCAGCAGCGCTTGGGAAGATGTGCATGAGCCGGGGTCAGCCTAGCGCGGGAAATGGTCAGCTCTTTAATCTGACATCATAAACCTCCAGAGATTTACATTTCTCTTTTTAAGCAGCAATCAATTATAGATTGATCCCACCTAAACAGTGCTGAAGCTTTCAAGTATCAGCCTTCACTGACTTGAGTTAGTTAAACATTACCTTTCATTATCCTTCTCTTCACTGTCAGCAGCAGCAGGTGGTTATCAGTAACTTCTGGTTGAACAATTGGCTGTTGCTTTCTAGTGGCTGCTTTAAGTACAGGGTTTCCATCACTGCCTTGTGCCCATGCACGCTTTAATAAGACTTTCAGTTCAGTATTCCTGCTCTTCTGTTGTGTCTACTGCAGGTGTAGTTTGTGCCTCCTAATCGAACCTAATTTCAACTTCCTTGAAAACACCTCGAGGGGTTTCCGTCAAGTACTTAAGTCTCGTGTTTGACCATTTCTAACCCACAGGTAGTTCACTAGAGCAGTACGTGCTTTGAATCCTTTCGCTAAAGCTGCGTATCTCACTGAATTCTGCATGTGATGGGAGAGTAGGCTAGCTTAAATGGAATGAGTTGGTGCGGAAGCCTCGTGCTGCTTCTGGTTTGCCTATGCTTAGCCTGTACCCAGGGCTACAGTGTAACAGCTGCTCTGTCACCCGGTGACCCCTCAGCAGCCAGGGAGGGGAGTTGGGGAAAAGGTGAGGAGACCCGTGGGCAGAACTGAGAACACATGTAGTGCAACATCTGCAGCACCAACAAAGGTACCCGCAGCTGTGCGCAGCCAAGGGAATGTGCAGCCCTCACAGCTGACAGGAGAGCAGCCCTCGGGAGCAGGGAGAAGTCTGGGGAGGGGCAGGAGGAACCCCAGCAGGGATCCCCCCAGGAACTCCCCCTCCTCAGCAAACCTTCCCCCTTTATAACAACCATGACCGTACGGTACGGGCTGTACCTGTAGCTGCCTCAGGGCAGCTGCCCTGGCTGACCTGAAACTGCCAATAGCCTGCCCCGCATGGTGATTCTGTCCCAGCCAAACCAGGACATGGTTACATGTTTGTTTGCTGTAAATATAAAATATTGGAAATCGTGTTCTTCCTACAGGTGCCTTGTTTTGTGTTCTGACTTCTAGGCATTTCCTGGCACAGCCAGACTCTCACTTTCTTTTTTTTGCCCACTCCTAGGTATGAAGCAGAACTGAATCCTGTAGACCATCATAAGGCCAACGTCCTAAAGTATCAAATGGAAAAAAGACCATTTTTTGAAATGCCTTCCCACCTGGCAGATGTAGACTTGGATGAATACGACTATGAAGAGGACTTTGAGTAGTGGTTGCTTACGGATGACACTTGCAGAAGAGAAGGGACAGTCTGCAGCAGGTCTGCTACATACCTGTACGTTTCAGCGGGGTTTGTTTCCAAGAAGTCAGCTTAGTTTTGTGCTAAAAGTATTTAATCACTACACTACGTTTTAAATAAAAGAAGCGCATTTGTATGGAATGATGAAACTTTTGTATTTATTCAATAGTCTATAGTTTGTAAAATAGATTAAAATATTTATTTACAGATGTTGCATAATTCCTTTTTGGAAGAATAACAATATTTGACCTTAGAGGAAATTAATCTGCTGTTTTTAAGAGAACTGTGTAAATAACTCGAAGTTGATGTGTGGTGCACTGACAGTCTCCATCCCACGGGAACAGGTATTCCTGTCCTGGCATGGGAGTTGCAGAGACAGTTGATGCCTGGCCTGCGATGCCGACACGCTCACAGACAGCCCTAGGGGGGGTTTTATGCCTCGGCAAGGCAGAGGCGTGACTGTGAGCGCAAGGTTCAGCGCTCGCTCACAAGCAGTTTCGTTTGACGAGCTGAGCGTATTAGTGCACAAGGAAAGCGAATGCCTGAGACAAGTTGCTTCTCTTCTCTGTGTAGTCCTTGTTTGCCCCAACTTTAATTCTGCTTGCCCTTTTAAACTTCAGTCTTTTCATTGATGTTCACTATAAAAGGATTATTTAATAATGAAGTCTGTTTTAGTGTTCATACTTGATCCAAAATGAGTGAGTGTGTTAATTCATGTAGAAGGAACCAATTTTTTTTTTAAATCCTTTGTGTAAATGTTACTTGAGCAGTGATGTGCACTAATTTGTTGTGGGCATTGAGTGCTTTTGTCTGTCCCCCCTTCAGTTGTTTGCTATTGACACATTCCATGGATATTCATCAGTGTCACAGCAGCTTGAAATTGTTGCCTCACTCTTACTGTTAAACAGATTTTGTTGAGAGGAAAAAAAAAAATGTACAAAAAGATGTAAGTTATTTTTTTGGTTGCAGTGTAGATCTGTTTGTTAGTGTTTAAAAATCGTGTTTGTATTTTCAAATAAAGATTTTCATACATGTAATTTTAATAGTTCTAATTATTGTGTTATGTACAATTAACTTCTTACTATTAAAGAACCCTTGAAGATACGATGAGTTACACACATAGCCAGTCTGGCTGAGTAACTACACCAAGCTGCAAACTCAAAGCAATGAAGCCCTATCAGGTTTTTCATCATCTTGTGGAGAGACTTAACAGACCTGTGTATCCCAAGTCTGGGACTCATCACTAAAGTCTGTTAGCTAACCTTACCAAGGAAAATTCAGGTCATTTTAATGCCAAAGGACTCTTGAAATCGGGGTTGGTTTATTCCAATTTTAATGGGAACTCATGAATGTTGAAGTTCTCTAACGTTGGTCAGGTATCTTTCACTACTGGGGCTTTTTAAACAGTAGAAATCATAGAATCACAGAACGGTTTGGGCTGGAAGGGACCTTCAAAGGCCATCCAGTCCAAACCCCCTGCAGTGAGCAGGGACATCTTTAGCTACAGCACGTTCCTCAGAGCCCCGTCCAACTTGACCTGGAATGTTTCCAGGGATGGGGCTTCTACCACCTCTGGGCAGCCTGTGCCAGTGTCGCCGGTGGTGTCCTCACCCCCACGTAAAAAAAAAAAAAAAAAAAAAAAAAAAAACAAACAAAAAAACCACCCTACTTCCTCATATCTAGTCTAAATCTGCCCTCTTTTAGTTCAAAACCATTACCCCTTGTCCTAGTGCAACAGGCCCTGGTAAAACCTTGCCCCTGCCTTACAGCCCCCTTGAAGTACTGAGAGGCCGCAGACGCGCAGTGTTTCTGTCAGGCTCTGTTCCCTGAGGTGCCGTGGGAAAGGGTGACCAGCTGGCTTTTTAGAAGGTGATCCTGAACTTCTACTGCTGACCCAGAGGTGGGGCCTGCTGCTTTTCCCTAGGTGAAACCCTTGAGCTGGAACCTGGCTTCTTAAAACGGGGGCTTGTGAGTGGGCCCTGTACAGCCACGGGCGTTCTCACCACCCGGTGACATCGCTGCAGTGCAGGGTAGAGCTCTTCTGCAGAGCCTGTAGCTGCTGTTGCCGCTCTGTGTTTCATGAAGTGCCTGTTAACTCCTGCTCTCTGTTATACTTGTGGTCACCAAGTCCCTTTTGTCCTAAAGGATTTGCACAGATCTAGTAGAGCAAATTACGCTGTTACGGTGGAAGAGCCTTTTCTTGCAATGCGTGAACTACAGAGATCACAGTGCCTTCCCCCAGAAGGGCAATTCCCCTCCCTAGTCCTCTGTTACAAGAATTAAAGCATCTGCGTGTCTGATGGGGTCCCAGGTGTAACTGCTTTCTTAGTCCAGCTCTATTCTGCCTACCTGGTAAAGGTTTAGGCCTAGATCCGCAAATCGAGGTGGATGAGGGAAACATCACTAACACACTCCAGGTATGGGGCGTTACTGGGCAAGTCACGGGGGAACTGAGAAGCAGTTGACCTGGGTGAGAATCGGCACGATCTTGGGCAGGGCTGCCTCTCCCCTTGCTTTAGCCCACTGCACACCTGGCTATGCGGAATGAAACGCGACGGTTTTACTGCTGGCACTGCAGGATACCCGGTCCCTGGGAGACATCCATGGCTTTCACTGCCGTATTCGTGGGAGCTCCCTTCTCGCTCTATTTAATAACAGGGCAAATGAGGCGGCCAGTAGCGCGGCTGCTCTGCTTTCTCCAGGCTCTGGGGGGGGAACATCACTGGCACTTTCAGTACTAATGGATAGCGATAGTTTATTTTACACAATTACAATCCAAAATATATATATATTAAAAAAAAATAAAGCTGATTGATAGGATTAATGCAATGTACAATTCCACAGAGCAAAGACAAAGGGTCAGCGAAAGCAGCCAGCACTCCCCAGCCTCTGAAACACTCTTGAGTGAAGCTCATCTGCAAATTCTTAGTGCAAAAACTACTTTTGAAGGGCCGTATTTGCAGCCTATTTACATTGCCTTTTCAGGCTTTATATTTTCCAAATAAATACCACATGACCGCTGCGTATGAAGGAATTCTTCCAGAGGAAAATCCTCAATCAACCAGTCTCGTGTTTCTTTCTTTAGAAGCCTTGATGCAAGTCTCCTGGGAACGTGTCCTGATCCCCACAGACCACATCTCTGAGCACTGGAATTTAGAAATACTCTGAGACGACTGGATCCAGGTTTTGCCCCGCAGGCAGGAAATGGCACTGCCAAGTCACTGGCCATCACCCGGCAGGTCACAGGGTTCACAGCTGGGCCAGGCTCCTTTCTCCCTGGCGTCGGTACAAGGAAACAGGGAGATCTCCATCTCGGTCATCTCAAAGGGCAAAGAATACACCCAGCAGAACGCTGCCCCCGCGCTGATTTGAGCAAGCTTGTCTCATCTAGTTTACAGAGTCTTTGAGTCAGTGTTTGTCAATACCCTGATTCCAACCCCTCAGTTGGGAATTCTTCCAAGACAGCATCAAGGACCAGGACGCAGCTCAGTAACGATGTCTGTAACGCCCACAGCCTTAGAAGCACGAGTAACAGCCAAATCAATAATGCCCACGAACAGCGACGTGGCCCAGTCAGCCGCAGTGCTAGTCACTGGTTCTGGGTGGACGCCTACAGGCAGGGATTTGACTTGCAACGTAGCTCCTGCCGCCTCGGTTGATACCTCCACAACCCCCTTTTCAGTTAAACAACTTGCAGAAAAAAGTGGTAGCGTGTTCTTCACTTCTGCTTATCCTCTCAGCTTCTTAACTGTCCTATACCAAAAGGAAAGAAAAAAGATTAAGTCAGTCTATTACTATGAAGAAAGCACCATGTAAGAGCACGTGAGGAATCCGAGCGTAGCAGCTAACCATCTAGCAGCTTGGCCATAGCTGGAAAGCACCACACTTAGCTGCCACAAGAGGAAAGAAGCATTTCT